ATTCCGTGAGATCGTGGTCCTTCCCCGGTCGAGCCAACCCATTGGTGCTGCAAACACAATATAGCTGCAGCACGGCTCTACCACGTAAATACGAATTATTAAGGACAAATTAAAAACTACTGGTCAGATCTTGATCAAATTTATATGGCACTACATAAAAAACATCAATTTTTAAATGAAAAAAGAAAAAAGTTCTGAGGTACACACATAATGAAAACATACAGTACATCCTCCTTTTCTTGAAGGCGGTTAAAAAGGGTGGCAACCCTACTTATATTTTACACACACACACATGTGCAAAAGCTTTATTATTGTTGAAGCTCTAGCAGAATGTAATAATATTAACTATGGAATGCAGTCACGTAAAAGGCTTCTTTAACGGCGACACTACATTGCCGACACTACGGAACCGCAAATTCGATTCCAGCCCGGAACAAAACTTTAAATGGCCTATTAATAATTAATCCGAATATGGATTTTTGTCCAATTTTTAAATGGAATAGAATATAATAATTTATATTCAACATAAATTACAAATAATAATGTCCTACAGAGGGTTCTATCCGCCAGGTCTGGCTGTACTGAGAATTTCTTGACAGAAACTGTGACGTGGTGGAGCCATGCTAGGCCCATTTATGGGTGTAGGATGAATGACTCGGCTCAACCGGGGCAGGACCACGCTCTCACTACTTAATATCAGCGTAAAATAATAGCTTAATGCGGCTGTATTTTGTACGATGAGTGTAGAGAACCGAATACCTTCTTTACAGGAAACGGTATTCCATCTTAGTCCTCAGGGGTAACAAAGCATCTGCATTTTGATTCTTAATCAAGGATCACTGTAGATGCTTATGGACCACAGTATTTACCACCAGGTGGACTGTGTGCTCGTTTGTCACCCTTATGTTATTAAAAAAGTAGTATATCCTGAAAATGGTTTATGATTTTACCACTAGTTCAGTAAAATTCTCTGTTCTGGAAAGAACCAACAAGAAAACCGCGACTCTTTAATTTTTTGTTGCGCGCCTAAGTTCATGTCTGATACCTGGCAATAGCACCATCTAGTATCGGGGAAGAGAGCGAGGAGAGCTTTCCAGAAAATGCCATGCTCGAACTTTACATCTCCAGCGCCATCTAGTATCGAATAGAAGAATTAAGCTTTCTGGAAAACTCCACACTCGAACTTTCTGCACCTGGTCGGTCGGGGGCTGGTATTTGCTGGAATATTCTGGATGTTTCAGTGTAAAAGGCCTATTTAAAGCCGTTGAAAGCCGCGATCGGGGTAGTATTGAATTGGCGATACGAGCGAAGCTTTCGGAGCGAAATAAAGTGAACTAAAGTGTTAAGTGTGATTAATTATTAGTGTGATTTGAGTTTTAATTGGTGTTCAGTAATTAAAGTGTCAATTTTGGAATTTAATCGACAGTTTTTACTCTCACGAACCCTAAGCTCGCAACAGTTTTTATGTATTTTTAAAATCCCATAGCAATACAATAATCCGTGACAACTCCGTGGCGCAGTGGCTTAGCAACGAGTTGCAGCGCTGAGGGCCGCGGGTTCGAATCCCGCGCGGAACAAATATTTGTATGGCCTATAAATAACTGCCTCCACGATACAGGAGAAAATCCTAGTGAGGGGGAACCTTTTTTATTTAAGAAAAGGATAAAATATTTAAGAATCCTAGCGTGTTTGGGGGGGGGGGATTTTTATAATTAAAGAAAAACAATAACACATATTAAAATGATGAAGGTCCTTATGCCTTCCAGGCCGACTAACCTTACGAACCAGAGTAATTACAGGCTGCGAGACGTTCCATCTTAGTCCGCAGAGGTGAGAACACATCCTGTAGCCTTTTTGTTTGAAATTGGTTGCAGGCGTCCATGAGCTGCAGCAGACACATGCTATCAGGTGGCTACGTGGATTATTGGATGTTTCATCAGAAACGCAGGGATATTTTCAATATACGCGATACGTGGTAGAGCCACACCACAGCTTTATTATGGTTGAGGAGCGACTCGACCGGCTCGTCCTTAGAGGTGAAAACGCATCTAAATTTTGATTTTTAATTGATGGTAGATGTAGATGTTTATGAACCATTTTCTATCCACTTACCATCAGATTCAGTGAGTGCTCGGTTGCTAAATCTTATTTTATTATAAAAAGACTCCATCAGCAGATGGAACGTTAAGTGGAAATTAATAAATATATTTCAAGTGATAGGTTTGATACCTGGAATGAAATACTTCATTAATTTATGATAGTAATACCTAGATGCCGTGTAGTGGTGGCGTAAGTAATTCCATACCCCACATTGACCCGAGCTTGATAAAAGAGGCAACTATTGTTAATATATGACACCAGCAGATGTATTGTACAACCAGTGCGTGCTGCTACTGACGACTTATAGATCTGAGACGTGGTCCTTCACTGCTGACCGTATGAGGACGCCTAACCCTACCTACCTACCCTAATTTAAATATATGTTTGTAAAGTATTCATATTAAAAACTTACTAATCATGAATTTTTAATAACATCTATATGTCTATTCATGTCATTAAATTACTTAAAACTAATATTGCACAAAAAACTTATAAACTCTTCTTCAAAACAAACAAATTAAACAAGCAAAATGGCGGATTGTGTCAGCGCTACTGAAGTAGCAATCGTGTCCTGGCCGAAAACTATTTCAGCGCTTGTAAGCGCTTGCTAGCGCTTTTTTCTGCCAAACGCACCCATTTATTTGATATGCTATTTTATCCACACAATATCTTTACATTCTGTGTCTAAGTTAAGATTATACTATGTTCCTCTCATGGAATCGCCTAGCATTCGTCTAAGAATAAACTCAGAAAATAACGATGAAGTGACTGAAATGAATAGCAGCCATGACACACTATGATGTACAAAACATAACAAAATCATTACTACATATAAAAATATGTTGCCTGTATACAATTCGTTCTTTTAATAAACTTAATGTTTATTTTACTTAATAAAACCTTAAAAATCGTTGAATAGGTTAAAAAAAGTATTTTCACGTACTCATAAAGTACGTTTGACTGCAATAACGTACAATACTTTATTATAAAGAACAGGTGGTAACCCTAATCCCTTCTGATGGTAAGAAGTTATGAAGCCCTAGATGGTAAATGGCACTGTCTTAAAGTCTTTCTGTCTTTACTCTTGTTTTGGAGACACTCAGATTGTAGTCGGATGGAAAGACAGATTTTGGAAAATTATTCCATTCCTTTGCCAAACATATTACGAAACACGAAGCATTTGCTTCGAATGCGTGGATATCGACAATAAAAGAGTGAAGGTCAGCCAGCTGGTTGTCCGATGGTTGGAAGGACAGAGAGGTTAAGGTGAAGACCCTCAGACAAGAAAGGGCGATACTATTTCCGCTGCTTCTAGGTTTCACATGTCGAGTATAATTATTTTAGTTTACATGGGATCAGTACAGCTCTAGAATAAGAACAATAGTTTTTTTGAAGCCCTTTCTCAAGTTTATTGCCAGCTAGAAGGTCTGCAGCTATAAGATTCGCTGTTTAATAATTATTTGAATTTATACGTGATACGACAACTCTAGGGCAAAAACTTTAGTCCTCCATTATGCAGTATGTTTTAGACTTTTGGTAATTTGTCCCGGACCCGGCCACCAATCTAATATTTGTATACTGGATAATAACGCAATCATTAACGGGAACTGTGACCCATGACGTCTAAATGTCGATCAGTATTTTAATTGCCAACATCCATTAGACGAGCTAGACAGAACTTCGATTAATTCACCCGGATATCAATCAATATACAATAATTCGTGTCACGTGTTTGCGGTCTATGGGGATCAATCAGCTTTTCTCGTCCTACTGGTATCGTGAGAATCGATTTAAGGGAAAGATTGGAAGATTTACGACCTTTGATGATTTTTAAAGTCAGGTCGACTCGTGATGAGTTCGACACCGGTAGGTTTCTAAGGGTATTTTTCTAACTCGTTTTCTGTCTAGGAGTTCATCTGGTTAGGTAACACCCTCATATCTATCTTTGCCCCCAAACAGCAGTTGCTTGCACTGCTGTGTGCGGTTTGGAGAATCAGTATAATTTCAGGCTGTGAAAATTCCATCTTAGACCTCAGAGGTGACGATGCATTCGTAACTTGTTTGCTGCGGGTGTCAGGGAACTGCAATAGCCACTTACCACCAGGTTAACTGTAGGTCAATTTGTCACTTCAGTTTTGTTTGAAAACCATCATGAATTAATTTAAGAAAATATTTTAAAAATACCCCGTGCTGCAGCACGGGGTATTTTTAAAATATTTTCTTAAATTTATAATAATGTTAAGTTACTTTTAATTTAGTTGTATTTATCTTTTGGCTTATATCTACTTTTTTGCTTGTTATGCTGCATGTTTGAACTTGAATAAAATGCATTTCTTTCTTTCTAATTCACATAAACATCTTCTGCACGAGCACCACAAAACCAGCATATTCTAGAAGTAAAAGTGGCTGGTTTTAGCGGGGACCTGACTTGCAACAGATTGCTGATTCTATTTTAAATGATGGTTTGAAGTAGATACTGATACGAAAAAGTGCGATTTTGTGTTTTAAATGTATTCGTATATATAAACAATATAACTACGTATATAAAATATATTTACCAGTGGAATTTTGAATGAATATATAGTATATAGTAGCCACTTACGATCTGGTTAGCTCGTTTCCCACTCTATTATTCTTCAAACATTACTATCCACATCAAACGGTAAAATTAAAAAATTTGTACAACCGACTCCAATACAACCGAATCTATGTATTTGAAGTCAATTAAATACGATTTATTTAAAGATTACTCAAAAACTGCTAGTCAGATCTTGATCAAATTGCCACATGAGTAGCACCAGATTTCAAATAACCATAACACATAAAAAACACATAAAAAAACCATACAGTCGAATAGAATACCTCCACCCTTTGAAGTCGGTAAAAAACATAATTCATACCTCGTGTATGTGGCTCAGCACCTCAGTCCTCGTCATGTCTTCGAGCCGCGTCTCGTTCACGTCCATTATCTCGTCAGCGAGTTCCAGATTGTCCCAATTACCCGCTGACGGGGACCCTGGTGGACAAAAAAATTAAAACTAACATGATATAAGCGACAATACAAAACACTTTTATTTTAACTAGTAGGTTAATCATCATAAGCCGTTACGTGAGACTCGTAAAAGTGACAATATACTAATATTAACATAGTGGCGTAGCCTAGAGTGGAGTAGACCGGGTGGCAGATTTTAAGGGTGCCAATTTGTATGATGATAGTAAAAATTTCAAAAAAGATGATAACGGTTATTAAAACACTTTTGAAAAAATAGTAGAAACACTATAGTAAAAGTTCTTCGCAGGCTCGCACGTACACACGCTCTCGCGCACGAACTTAAACACGGACGCACGCACGCATGCACGCTCGCACGCATTTTTTTACTATTCTATGCCAGCGCTTAACTACAATCACACCTGATGGTAAGTAGTGGTGAAGCCTAAGATGGACTTCCCCATCTTAGGCATCACCACTACTTACCGTATATAACGCACTGACTTATATAACAAAAGCCTATTAACCCTTGCCTTCAAGACGCCCACACTGTAAACGGATACAAAGACGTTGTACGCATAACGAACGATGTAACCAACCGTTTGGTTCAAACGCATGGTAAGTCAACAACAAATGGTGGAGACAGGCCGAACGTCTGGTTGTCAGATGGTGGAAGTGAGATGGAGGAACTAAATTATGCAATTCCTGCGCCCACTCTTCGAAATGCATCCTTTAGAAAAACCGAAACACTTTTCTACAGGATGCATTTCGAAGCCACTTTGCACCTGTGTTCGAGGCTGGTAAGATTGGTTTTAATCAGATTCGGGTCACCAATAAACCTCATAGCATGCCTTTCTATTCTATTTGGGACTCCAGCGGCCCCGGGCAGCAAATGGTGGCAAACTGCTACAACACTGGGTGGATGTGAGGAACATTTGGTGGTATTCGACAGATAAAGAATCACCTCGAATTCCGAATATCGATTCACTAGGTGGTAGGAATGCTTTTGTATCTATGAGTCCGTCTCGGCAGGTACCTTGCTCTTATCTGTATGTATCTCTATTTCTGCCGCTGAATAACAATGATTGCATTACTACGAATATGTTCCGGTCTGAAGGGAATAAAGCCAATGTAATAAACAGGCTATGAGATATTTCAACTTGGTTTTTGTCAGTAGCGATGTAGCTGTACCCTTTTTTGCTAGAAGTTGGCTGAATGTGTTCATGGATGGCAGTAGCCATAAACTGCTACTGCATGTTCATCATTTACATCAAAGACTGAGAGGTTGTTTATCACTTGAGATTTTTTAAAACTCTACTTTTTATACAACTCTAAAGAGCCTGGCAGAATCAAAGACCTCATAGAACGATTTTACCCTGCTAACCACAGTTTTGGGATTTGTAAATTATTTCAAATCTCATGCCACCGCAATTTTTTCGGAATCGTACCCGTCGCGGGAACGCCCGACCACACATAGCGGAATATGTTTTCATGTCGGTCTGCATAGAATATGGTTTCTTGTCGGTTTGCATTTGAGATCATTAACCAACACTACAGCTTTATGCGTGATGCGATGGTAACCACAGTTTTTAATTTCTTATATTTACGCGAACACTACACATTAAATAAAACTATTATAATTTTATAACTATTAACTTATTTTTAAAATTATATTTAATTTAGTCCCATCATTATCCATCAAAGTTAGCTACCGAAGGTAAATCTTTGTTTCAGAGAGAACAATGGATCTGTGACAGAAAACATCTGGCTGCCGAGCTTCAGCACGTCAAGCAAGTATTGCAAGACAGCAAGCTTCGAGTCCCACGACACACATCACAGACCACAGTGACTAAGTGAAGTCATAGTCACAGACAAGGTTGGCTACATCTTAAAGCGAGCTTCCATTAAAACATACTACAGGCCGCCGAAGAAGATTAGTCAATTTTTACCATCCATCAAGTGTAATACTCCTCTACAGGATGCAGGAGTGTATAAGCAAGTTGTGAATGTGGTCTCTCTTACATAGGAAAAACAAAACGATCTATAAAAACCCGCGTGAAAGAAGACAGCTGACGTGAAGCACCGACGCTCCGGGAAGTCTGCAATCTGCGAACATGTTCAAGATCGTCCCCACCATTACATCAGTTGGATAAACCACAAATCCTCGCAAAAGAACACCGATTCCTACCAAGAATGATACGCAAGACTATTGAAATTAAAAAAAAATTTTTTAGAAGTTCATAGAGCACTTCGTTCATTTTACGATCAATATAATTGGCCTAGTGAGCAGGCAATTCGTGCAGTTATTGATCGTTTTCGCACTAATTCGACACACAAATTTGGTTTTTAGAATATTTTGTATTTCTACAGCGATCGATACTGCTGAAAACAAACGATACAATAACCCACTCACGACGGCGGCCGAGCCCGGAGTGAGTCTAATTGTATCTGTATTTAGTAAAATATGTTACTACAAGGCTGCTCAAGCACTGAAAATTTCGGTATTTCTCGGGCGAAAAATAAATTATAACTAAACTAAACAAAATTAAACAGCCATTTACATTCCATGACTTCCCATATAATAGGTGAAGAGATTAAAAAATTGATTGAGTTGAACAATTGATATTTTCAAAAGTTATCATGTTTATCCCTTCATGCGAACTTGATAAATCTACACCATAAGCCACTAAAACCACTTTTTTGTAATGTAAAAATAGGAATATAATCGATTTAAAAAATAATAAGTTCAACAATCATTTATCTTTCCGACAAAGTGCTTTTTATATCATTTATATGTTCAATGTGATTATTAGATACGATTTCATGTGACAAAACGTTGAATTCTTGATTTTTAGAAGTTAGTTGAACAAACCTACGCGCTCCGAAGAATATTTTATTTATGCATTCATAATAAATTATTTTATTAGCTCGTGCTTGACATTGATATAATTCAGTATTATGACAGTAAAATGATTGACAAATATGACAAGAAATCAAAAAAAAATATCAAAAAAAATTCTTAAAATTTGCGGCATTGTCGCTCCATATATTTTTTAAGAAAATACCATGAAACGGAACTATTTGTATTCGCTGTGTTTTGAGTTGATACTGGTAACCGCCCTGCCCCCCCCCCATTCGACCGGCAGCTCCGTTACACAGAACCTTCGATCAACAATACCAACTAGATGTCGGGTCGGCGCAAGAATTCCATCTCAGTAAATAAGAGCGCACATGAGACGTGAGCTCTTGCACGTGAGAGTATAGCTCGCAAGGCAATAACGGGAAAAAGAACTTTATTTGTAATAACATAAGGTTGATTTCACACTAAATGTTATTTAATTTACGTCTTTTCATAGTTTATATTCATGCGGACAAAATGTTTTATAGGTACCTATGAAATCTTTGTGCGGACGTTTTACTCGTAGTAATGATTTTGTACGACGTTATCTAATTGGTATTGTTGATCGAAGCACAGAACACGTGTTGGATTTTGAACTGGTGAGTATGGAATTTAATTCTTCTAATTGTATCATTTCATTCGTCATTAGTTTTTTAACCTTTACTTTTAGGTCAGGATTGATTTATAGAATCATAGTAAAATAATTAAGTTACCTTTTGAGTAACTTTTTATTGATCATGACAATGTTTTCTGTGTATAAATTTTTTAACAAGTTTCAACATGATTTTTGTGAATATATCATTATCGACAACATCATTGTTAGCAACAATGGAGAGGAAGAAGACAATGACGCACGTTGTGAACAATGAAGATGTAATTAGACTGCAATGATTACTGATGAGAACAATAATTTTGATAGTTTTGATTGATGTGCCGATGTGATAAGCTAATATGAGATAGGTGGTTTTTGATGTATAGACAGTTTTTGAATAAGTTAAAACATTCACAAAACGAAAGTGTTACTTTAGGTTTTGGGTCCAGCCAGATTTTGACAAAATTCGGAACCTACATAGTTACGTCTATTAATTTTAGGTTGTTTATTTTTGTCTTTCAAAACCAGAACAAAATTTTTCATATTTCTCTACTAGTCTTTGTCATCAATTTATTTTAAGACGGACCTCGTTATTAGATTACAGATAATAAGTAATAATAATAGTCATGGAGAGGAAGAGATCAACTTCGCCCTCAATTTAATCTGGAGCTTTTTAAAAAAAAAGATGATATCCCAACAAAAACAGAACTTAGCACTCAAACCATTAACGGAAAGATAATAAATGCTATGATCTATCGAAAACAACAACGTTGATAAAATTACTTTTTCAATTATAACCGATATACTGCACAAATTTGACTTTCACGATCAGCGTCCTTTAGATCAGCCAAATGAAAATTTTGCGAGGCTTGTAGCTTTTGAATTGAAAAGAATTCCTATCGAAAAAACGATCAAATTTATACCCAAAATTTCTAAATATTATTAGGATTTTTCGAGGCGATTCAAATTTGGATGAATGTTTAGAGTTTGTACCAATGATGAGTGATTCTGACGACAACGAAGGAAGAGTTTTATAATTAAACGTAAGCTATGAAAAAAAATGAATAAAGAAAAAGGTCAAAAAATTTGGTAATCTTAAAACACTCTTTTGTCCAAATTATGTCCGATACTTACAATGAAATTCCTACTCAGCTCAAATCCTCTTTGTTTCAAATAAAATATTGCCTAATAATAATAACCAAATAATATTGTTGCAGGTACTTATCAGTTACTTTATTAGTTAAGAAATCAAGCTACCCACAACTGTGCTAGTGCTATTGTATGTAATTTAAATATCACCAAAAAGGCCTCCGAAAAGAAATACTAATGAAAAAAGACTAGCTTAACAAATACTTTGCAAATGTAGGCGGTATGCAGAAATTAAAAATGATCCGGATTAACTAAAAAAATAACGAGTATTTCGGAAAAAACACAGCGCAGTCAAAGAGAGCAAAGAAGTGGAAAGAAAATTCGAAAAGGTACTTATAAGTTACTTTATTAATTTGGTTTTATACTGACATCTATATTTTCAATGACATCTTTCTATTTGGTATATTACGAGTGTGTCATTCTTGATATATCAATTGTCAACATTTATAATTATTTGAGTAATTAACATGACATTTTTATAGATACCGACAAAACAAAAAACAAGCAAAGCCACCAAATTTTGAAGCCGTTACTGTTTGCAGTATTCAAGGTGAAAGCACTTTTACGCATAATCTTGAAGAAGATCCGCAATAGAATAAGGCTGATGCTGTAGCTGTTATAAGATAAGTTCGCAACGTAGAATTAAAAAAGGAAAATATTACTCAATATCATCGCCGCTTACAATAAAAGGGATAAAGCTCGTTGCAAACAAATACAAAGACTAAAAAAGCTACACAACGAACATCAGAAGACATAAATGGAAGCAAAAAATTATATACCGGTTCTAGAAAATAACTGTTCAGCCTTCAGTCAGAAAACTGATTGTTTGCAAATAAACAATGTTGCGTGTAAATCGAATGACATCGAATATAATGATCTTTCGAGGGATATCTGCATTTTGTATGAATGGAAAAAGGTAACAAAAGATATAACATTAACAAGAAGAAACAACCAATAATTGAAAAGTTGAAAATTATAGTTACAACGATAGAAGCATTAGATAAATTCAAGATGATGATAAAATTATTAGCTAATACAGAGCTATTAAGAATCTTAAAGAAAATCTAAATATTACATGTAAATTTTTCTGAAAATTATGCCTTGAAATATGGAGCAGAAGTTCAGTCGTTCTACTCTGGTGGAAGAAGGCAGCGGGTTTTCTTGCATACTGGTGGTATCAATGCAGTTATCAATATAATGGACAAGTTGTGTCAATTTCCATGAGCACAATAAGTGATTTTTACGTCATGATGCTCCAGCTGTATGTGGTCATATGATACTATTAATAGAAGAAGTGATTAAATAAACCCGTTTACTGACACCATACATTTTTATCGGATACACCATCTTCCCAGTAGGATAGAAATAAGCACATGTTTTATCTGATAACTCAGTTAAAGAATGACTTCCCGTAGCTGAACAGAATAACATGGTGCTATTAAAAGTTGGTCATGCAAAAGGTGCTCCTGACAGGATCGAATTCAAAGAAGTTACAACAGTCTTGTGAATGATTTATTAAGTCTCTTACGATATTAGAATTTTCGCTTTGTACATTATTCTAAGAATTTTTTTAAGTTCTGTGAATTTTACTGTTAGAGTTTTAATTTTGATTAAAAACAAAAGATATGTTTTAAAGTAAGTAAATTCTTACAAGTTCCTAATAGATACTCTATAATTATTTAATATCACAAGATGCGATTTTCAACGAAATATGTTAACATTATTTCACAAAAAATATTACAAATTATCATGCAACCTCATTATTCTTAATGATTTTGTCATTATTTGGAACATAGCATCATTCTACTCTGCATTAAGGTCATTATTCTCACAAATTGTCATTTTCGGTAACAGCAAACTTTAAACAATGACATTTTTTCTAAAACCAGTGCTTTGTTTCGACTTTCGAATGCCTTCTAGATAAAACTGTTCACTATCAACAAAACAATTATCTACGCATAAAATTTTAGGTCTGTATGTAGGTTTAAAAAATTGGTAACTTTTTTACGAAAAATATCATTTTGAAGAGAACTACCCTACAATGTATACGTTCACGCTGCTAGTGTTAAACACTTTAACACCGAATAATATGAATAATTGTCGCTTGGACAATTGTTGACTTTAATACCAAAGAGCAAAGTAACCACTACGTTTATATTGGTTCATACTGCCAATGTCTCAGAGTAAGTTAATAAGTAAGCATGTTATTACTCTAAGGCCAATGTCAAACACGCGCACAGAGTAGAGATTCATCATCATCATAATCATTACAGCCCTTCACAAGTCCACTTCTGAACATAGGCCTCCCCCAAGGAATGTCTTCCTGCATGTTTTACCAGGTCGTCACTCCATCTAGTGGGGCGTCGCCCTACACTTCGCCTACCGGTACGAGGCTGACACTCGAGAACCTTTTTGCCCCATCGGTTGTCGGTTCTTCGAGCTATGTGGCCGGCCCATTGCCACTTCAGCTTACTGATCCGTTGGGCTAGGTAAGTCCAACTTCGGCCGAGAGGTCAATCGACGGATTCAAATCGGCTTAACAGCGTTCGGGAAATTACAACACATCTTTTCGTCAGCTACTCGTATACCACAGAACCTGCGAAACTGTATAACCAGTGCGTGCTGCCAGTGGTGACTGCTGGTGGTATGAGGACGCTCAAGGTCGCTCAGCGAGCTATGGAGAGGGCTATGCTCGGGGTGTTTCTCTACGTGATAAACTTAGAAATGAACATATCCGCAGTAGAACCAGAGTGCCGCCAAAGAATTTTAAAATACGGCCAACAAATAATTACTGACGGATTGACTAAATAAGCCTCGGCCAAAGTTTGTCCAAGAAATAATCTTTAAATTTTGAGTGATTTGAAATGTTTCTTTTTCCATTCCTTTTCGTTGTTTAATCGGAAAAGTATAGTTGGGGACAGTACACATTACAGGTTTTATTTATTGGCCCCTATTGGACAAACCCTTACCATATCCTTGTTTTGATAGCGAAGCAACAAGCGATGTTATTTTTATTCTAGGAAATGAGATCTATTTTCTTTCGAGATCTCGCTCTTGTTACACCTGCATATCTTATTCGTGGGATTCGTATGTCGTCTAAAAACGACTGAAATATATAAACTTTATTTATTACCAATCTTTTATCATCCATCTTATCAATGTTTGCTATTAAGCAGCAAGTTTAGCGAATGTGTCCGATTTGGAGGGTACGGAAAGCCAATATAATCACCGACTGTGAGTCTGAGACGTCTGAGATATCTTAGTCTTCAATCGTGTCACCGTACTGCAGCCTGTTCTTTGGAGGTGTCCTTGGATTGCGAAAGCCACTTACCATCAAGTGGACTGTCAGTTATTTTGTCACTTTATAGCATTTAAAAAATGCGGATATTAAAATTTCGTGAAGCAGAAAAATTAAACTTTTTATAAAAAGTATTATAAGTCAAAAAAAAGTAAGAGTGCAGGAACTAAAAATAATGAAATTATTTCCACGTAATAGCTTCTGAATTCGGTGCTAAGACTTCGTGTAGAAGAATGAATGTACTAATTTCCGGCTGCAGAAGCTATCATGTGGAAATAATTTTATTCATTTTGTCGCTTTGAAGACGGCTCTTACTTTTATTTAAAAGTTTGTTACTTTTTAAGAGTTTAATCTTTGACTATTTTCAGGGGACTATGCAATATCACAAGCACAATGTGACAGCTAGAATGTCACTTAAATAGTTTTTTTTATAGGATAGGGTGACAAACGAGCACACAGTCCACCTGATGGTAAGTGGTTGCTGTGGCTTATAGACACCTACACCAATCCTCGATTACAAATCAAATAGCAGGTGCGTTGTCAGCCGCGAGGACTAAGATGGAATGCTTCGATTCCAGTAAAAAGTGAAATGTGAAGAATAAGTGTCTATGGGCCACAGCATCCACTTACCATCAGGTGGAAAGTGTGCTCGTTTGTCACTCTTATTCTATAAAAAAAATACATATCCTACGGCAAATTGTACAGAAGACCTAAGCGTACAATCTAACACTTTTTTATACGTAAGCAGACTATAAGAAAAACATAATTCCGTCGAAATTTGGGCGGTGCTACAATCCCCGCAGCGATGCTAAGTCGATTGTCGGTATATAGATGCTGAAATTTCTATAAAGTATGGCTACGGGGGTGATGTGAGTACTGAACCAGAGTACGAAACCTATTCAACAGCAGAGTGGTGTAAGACAAGGTGACTTCATATCACCGAAACTCTTCACCCCTGCATTGAAAGACGTTTTCAAGCTGCTGGCCGAAAATCATACGATATCAACATCAATGGTAAAGCCTCTTTGATTAGCCGATGATGTAGTCATTATAGCAGAATCGCTGGAGGACTTAAGCACTATTATTATTGATCGCA